CCCCAAAACCCCAAAACCCCAAAACCCCAATAGTCTCAAAATTTATTGAAATTTTAGCTAATTGGGATGCTAAAGGGGTTAGAGGATGGAAATTTGGGAATGGAGGAGGTATAGGGATCTTAGGGGGTTATTTTCTGAGATTGATTGCACTTTCCTATCGAGTTATTAGAATTCATACCTGAACAGGTCTTTTACAGTTACTTCTTCTCTGTATCTAGAATTATACCGATTAGAATAGGTTTTAAAAGAGCTTTGACTATAAGTTTTGTAATTAACAAGCATTGAAATGAAATTTACTGTAAGGTTTGGTTCTGAAACTTCTCTTAATTTTTTCACGGCTATTTTTAGCTTCCTCTCTTTCCTCCTGGCTCAGAGATTATTGACAATATCAATTATAAGTATCACACATCCTAGAGCAGGTCCTATTATTAAGATGTAAATGTAAATATTTTGCTTGGAAGATGACCAATCGGATTCAAAATAGAGAAAACTTAGAGGAATGATAGCCAAGACGTAGTTAACCTGGCTCACAGATTCAATCAGATTAATAGCTGGTTTGATAGATGGCCTGGCAATTATCAAGTAGAAGCAATAGGTTAGATGGATAAAGATGAACAATCCAAACTTGACAAAATAAATTGACTTGATCTTATCGGTTTCACCATTCTCATCTGTTTTTGACACATTTGTAATTGGAAGTAGCACGAGGACGGATAAAAGCCTAACGAAGATAAAGCACATCGTGTTTAGCTTTGCTTTATTGTCGTTTTTTATTTCAGAATAAAACTCTTTAGTAGTGTAATGGTGGTGAAACTTTGATTCTTTGTGTCTTCTAAATGAATCAGACAAAGAAAATCACTTACACTCCGGATCAATATGAAATAATCATAATTATTATAAAAACAATGATTCCAAATGCGAAAAATAAGCAGGAAATAGATGAGATAAGTGAATCTTTGGAGCTATGATTAACAAAATTGATAATCCCAGAGACAATAGAAAGAGCAAAGTACAAGAACTCTTCCATGATAAAACGGATATACATACTGAAAGTCATCCATACAAATAACCTTTTGACTAATACTCTTCACTTCTGACCTTCAGGAACATTCTTCATTCAAAGATATATAAGATAAATGACAAAATGGCAGGAAAATGCTATGAAAGTGACAAAGATCATAGGAAGAAAGTTTTTCAGAGTACTTCCACTACTCAGTCCAATCTCGGATAAATAATAATCTTCTTGATCATACTTGATTGCTCCATCTATCGCCTTAATGACAGGAATTTTGTGAGCAGGAATGAAGTCAAGAGAAATTAAGGAGAAGTCAATTCCTAATATGAATTGCCTTACTTTGGGCGGAAAATATTGAGGCATTAATAAAGGCAGTAAGATGTATAATTGGTACTGATTTATCAAATCAAATATTGCTGAACTTGATCCTTTTTGGAAAATAGAAGAGATTAATCAGATCACTCAATTGAAAATAAAAACAGCTTGTGCAATAATAACCTCAGATTGAGCCTCAGCACCGCTGCAAGATCTTTTGTCATTACTCAGGAGAGTTTCAGGTTGGCATTCTGTTCAAATACCAGGGTTATCGCTTTGGCATGTAGCACAGTTCTTAATCTCTCAAGGTTGAACTGAGATGTAGAATCTCTTAATGGTAGAATCAGTCCCATCATCAATTCTTATGGCAAACTTGTAGACCATCTGTGAAGTAACTATAGGGGTCTTATTAAGGATTAAAAACTGATTACTAGCATCTAGATTTACCCAATCAGGGACACTAGCTCCGTCTAAGGCTTCAAGAGTGAATGAAATTGGAACTATGTTGCTTGAGTGGGAACAAGCCCAGTTAAAACTAAGATTGGCCTCGACATTGGTAATATAAGAGCCTGCAAAATCTTCGTCCCAAAGAGCAGTCAAATAATCCGAATTTATGCTATTTATAGTATGGTCGACAACCACTAAAGTGGAAGGATCAAGATTAGATAGAGAAGGAGTGGAAAGATTCAGAGGAGTCCAAGTCACAAGATCAATAAGAGCATAAGTGCCAACATTTAAGGATAACCTTGAGGTGTCTTCTGTAATTTCTGAGAACCTAGTTAAGTCTTTCACTCTACTCTTGAGGATTTTACTGTTTGATGAATATCTGCCTGAGAGTGCTAGGTAGTCATGTGAGTTAAACACAAATTTTTCAGATCCGTATATTATCAGATTTGATCACTTCAATTCCTTTACAACACTTACTGAGACAGGATCAATAAAGAGGAGGACAGATTCTGATGGCGTTTGGTACTCTACAGCTATGATTATCTGGGATTTATAGTCAATTATATTATAGACAAATTTAGCAGATCCTGATGAGATAAGGCCATTTCCAATCGAGTTTCCGGTTGAAATATCAAGAGTATGATACAATAAGATGCCTGAAAAGATATTTGCAGTGTAAATATGTGTTTGATTACTGTTAATAAGAGACTTTCCTCCTTTCGATAAACAAGAAGAAGAACATTGAATTTTCTTAACCCAATCATAATTGGTTGGATTTGTGAAATCAGCCAAAAACATAAATAGATCATTCCCTCCTCCAATCACAGAAGAAATAAAGGCTTTTTTACTAGTAACAGGAGTGTAATTAATCCTATCAGCATCACCATAGTCAAAGCAATTCATATTGGAGGCTACTCTGTCCCATCTGCATAGCACATAGTGAGAGGAGCCTGAAAGTTTAGCCATGATATATATATTTCCATTAACCGATTGGATTCCTGTGTATCTACTATAAGTAATCGATGCAACAGAGATGTAATTGGTAATTGATATGTCTGTGGAGTTTACCTCCATAAAATTGCCCGAGTCTTGTAAAAGAGCATAAATGAATGCTCCATCTGAGCTTATCCCATAGTCTTCATCAGCTGTGTCAGTTTTAATGCCTCTTACATGGATTGGGTTTAAATTGTAATCCATAACGAACACTCCTGTATAAACATGAGAAGTTGGAGTATGCAAATATTGAGACATAAAAAATAAGATATCTTTGGTCGGGTGGGTGAAGATCTAGAGTGTTAAAATTTGTGTAAACAATACCTCAAACATAAATCCCGCTGAAGATCCTGTGATCAGGAAAGTATTCAAGTTTGGAAGGCCAGCTATCTGTTCCTCTGTTTCTCATATTTTGGCATTGATTACTATCCAAAGTCATAAAACCACTCAAAAGATGTTCATTTTATATTATTTTAATAGAAAATTCTATAATCTTGATTTATATGGGGTTTTGGGGTTTTGGGGTTTTGGGGTTTTGGGG